GGGCATGGGGATGACTGTTGTCATGCGGGTGCTGGCTCGTCTTATATCTCAAGGAAATAATCGTGGAAATTATTAGGTGCATGACATGGATGTAGGTGGACAGGACATGACTTTAAGGGCCAGACCCTAGATTTCAATGGACGTTTTGGTCGAAGACAATCAACTACCATGGAATAACCACAGAAGCGTCCATTCTACAAACGAGGAGCGCTACAAGTAATGTGAATTAAATATGACATTGATGTTATACTGTACTTCCGCATAGATGCTAGCTAAAAGCCCAGACACGTGTTTCGCCGATGTTTCTGGTACCGCATGAAGTCATATACCGGAGGTAATACACTAGAAACTGCACAGAGGACGTTGGGGGACTCACTGAGGAGCCGAACCCCTCGTTGCTGTATCATGCAGTATCAGAAACATCGGCGAAACACGAGTCCGGGCATTTAGTTGGTATCTTTGCGGAAGTACAGTTTAAGATCATTGTCATGGATATGTGGAGTATGGAAATGTCGAGGCCCAATCTCAACATATTTTATATACATAGGGATGCTAGCCTTTAACAAAGTTCCTTCTGGTGGCCTGCAAAAAGCAAACACGATAAAAGATCGCTACTTATTTAGCAGGCTTTTTTCACATTGATTTTTAATGTCCTTCGACATGCAAATATATTTAATGAAAAGAATGCACCAAAATATAATTTCTTGTATTGATTTGGTAGTCAAGCGTACCTACTTTAAAGTTCATACTTGAAAAAAGGGAACGTTTGACGTTTAAAGGGTTTCTAATCATGAGACCTCTTAAGGCCGCAAACCATCACTCGGAATATGTCCTATCCGTAAACATATTAATGTTGCCTTTGAGCTGTACAACAGGGTTCGGACTCATTGCAAACTGTTGTGAGAACTGGGAGATTTTATCTTTCAAGCAAAGAGGGAATTAAACCATTGCTTTCCCGGAAGAACTTCGAACAGGGCAATGATCTCGAGACTAATATAATTTATTGGCGTCATACAATTTTACGACCACTTATTCAACTGCAAACTGTCATTGCCTATTCATAAAATAACTTAAATATCCAATTAGGTATGGCCTAGAAGGGTAGAACTTGATGGTTACATAGAGTAGGAGCTATTAGTTTAGATGTGGACGTATGATGAGGGCGTAGAGGAGGGAGGGTAGTTATCACAGCAAGGTCGTTCATTTTACAATGAAAGCCTGTCAAGGGGG